AATAAACATTTCGGACATAATGCTCATAAAAGTACCAACCTTATTTTTAAACTTCATAATCATTCGTGGTCAATGCGGTTACCAGTAAAGCGATCCACGATTTATCAGCATTACATAATGTCTCGCTAATAAACTGAATTAACGTTAATTCTTAGTCTGTGGAATGATTTGCATGTTTATCTTCGATTACGCAATGCAACGTCGAAAACTTAAGAATAAATGCTAATACCTGATTACGTTTACTGTCAAGTTAAAAAATCATTCCCGCATCTTCTCCACTTTACGTGAAAAATGATGATCGAAACGTAACGCCTATAAAAGATACAATTTTTTCTGCTGTCCACCCTTCTACAAAGCTAATGTGGCATTTAACAAAGGTCTTACAAAATCAAACTCATCGAACTTAGTTTCACTTATCTTAAATCTAAATATCCGCACGTCCCACAATTAATTTTCTAATCAGAATATCTTTGCATAAATGCGTCCATTCATCATTTTGGAAAATATGCCTTTTATGATTTTAACCGCTACTTTATTTTTCGTCGTTGGGAAGATGACTCCCGAAAATATCCATTTGTGTGTCAGATTCATCACCATGTGGTTCTTGTGGGACGTAAAGCGAAAAAATGCCGATGAAACAAACTCTCGTGAAACCAAGATCAACCTGAACAAATCGGCAAGATCAAATCCGAAATAGATTTCCGTAATGCTAACTACTATGCAACGGAGGCACAGAATATCATTAACATGATAAATGGGAAATATAACGAAATCGAGCAAGTTCTAGAAACCTACCATAATAATTTTACCCGAATTCGAAACCATCGCATCGCTCCAGAGTGAAATTAATCAACACTACACACTTACCCAAAGCATAAATCCGATCAAGAAAGCGAGACCTCACATAATCCCACTCCGTCCATTCTTCAGGTAAAGATTGAAAAAATAATTGAGAAATGAAGTTCCGCTCTTGTGGGTAGAAGATACACAAATTTGCTAATCATTATTTTCGATTGAACGAATTCAAGATACAGATATTACCTTAACAATTTGCTCCGCTTTAAAGAAATTTTCGATAGGGTCATGACCGAAAGAAATTATACTTTAGATAAAATGTGTTTTTCCGTAGCAGTGCGCATTCGTGAGCTTGGTGGGAATATTAGACAATCTACAGTAAAAATTTTTATAATATATGGGGTAGGGAAAGGAACTGCCATTTCTTTACAATGTAAAGGGGCCTAGGATCCGGCAGGCATGTTTTCATGCTTTATTCCTCCCTCTTTGTTCCTACTCCATACTTATATAACAAGAGGTTTAAAGATTAGCAATATCGGTCGCCTGGAAATATCCACCAGATTAGCCTTTTACATTTATATATCGTTTTAAAGTGTTTTAATAAAATATAAATTGGAAAATGATCACCCGCCGAGATGCGTATTTTTTTTTGCCAAGATCATGTGATAATAATCGTCTGATAAATTAATCGTGTTTTTCCAACCGCGTTCTGAGCTACTCACACTCACAATGTACACCTACTATGGCTACTTCAAAGAAACCAACCCCGAGGAATACCGCTTCTTGGATTTTTACAAGTACCGCAGTAAGCAAACTGATTTCACATATTCATTTCAAAAGGAAGCAGACATACTTCGGAAATGTCTGTCCAACATGTTGAAAGAGAGTTCGGAAAACATTAAGAAACGGATTAGTCTGCTACTGCAAAATTTTGAGGCAAGTTATTTTGATTTTTCTGAACGGTTGGCACGCAGTATGGGAGATTTCCAGCAGTCCCGAGAAGGGGTAAATACTCTCACAACTACGGTGGGCATCTACTTGTTACCCATCTTATGGTCTACTTGTCCGTTGTGGTCTGCCATAGGCAGTATGGGAGTCTTCCAGCAGTCCCGAGAAGGGGTAAAACTCACATAACTACGTTGGGCATCTATTGGTTGCCCATCTTATGGTCTACTTGTCTGTTATGGTCTGCTTGCATCAACTAAATCAACTAGCATTCTATCACAAACTTATTAATGTACTCCATCATTTTTCGTTAGAAACATCGATTGCGCAATCAGGATATCAATTACTTCTGGAACAGAATCGAGTTAGAGTGTAATAAAAATGAACAGAAACGTCTAGAGTCAGAGAGAACTACGCGAACAGTAAGTTTTCCTTGCCGAATAACTTTTTGAGCTTTTTCTAACTAGTATACATATAGCTACGATGCCACGTCAATATAAGAAGTAAGACACAAGATATGATGGAGAACATGGCCGAGGAAACAGTAGAAGAAGCCGAGGTTTGCTGATGCCATGATGTTAACGTAGATTACATAAATTGTATTTTGTTTTACTTACATATCTATATCTCTTTTCCTCATCGCTCAAGAATGCTCGCAAGCGATTATATTCCGAGTTCTCGGGACATAAACAAAATGAAGAAGGATTCTCAACCCCACCAAATAAGGTCAGTATACGACTTAAATTTAGTTAGCAAAACGTATTCTAACCATTTGACTACTTTTTAAATGCATAGATCAGAACAATCAATGCGGAGACTCCTCAACGAACGAGACAGGGATACGATAGTGATTCACTACCTTACGACGAAGATCATTCCTCAGGCTCTGACTCTGAAATTGTACCTGTTTCTCTTACGAACGTCTTTCTTGAAACTTCCGTCGAGCTTGAGAGGAATCCAGACCAGACAGCCGAATTGGATACATCTTTAATATCAACAAAGGAAGCGGAGGTTGAGAGTCGGAAAACTAGAAGACCATACATAACTCGCGATATAGCGGAGGAAGTCCTCAAGAAATATCAAATGTGTATTTTGGCGGACAAGAAGTTGATATACAATGGTGTAGACGTGTTAGATTTTATTCGCTCAAACATGAATAAGGATAAGACCACAAAAAGCCCTCTATGTATTGGTGTTATTAACATCCATAATCCCGACTGCACCAAGTTTTTACCTGATGACTTTAAAAGCTTTATTGCCAACCAGCTTCAAGACTCCAAGATCAAGGCTGTCTGTTTTGCTACCAAACAATGCATCGATAAGTTTGTGGTGGATTGTGAGGAAGAAGTATTGCAATTCTTGGAGAAGTTCCATGACATAGGGGATTTGGAGTCTCTGGCAAGATGTCTAAATGAAAATCCGATTGATATGTCCATCGCATCGAATGATCTTATTTTCGTGCGGACCCTCTTCGATCATTTTTTCTTTTTATACAAGAATGATATTCTACTACATTCCATGTCTGAAAGCGAGCTTAATGCATATGTTTGGACTCCGTTACTTAGGAATGCCTTTCTCGGAAAGGACGATCTGAAATTAAGTTGCGGGGAGTTAGCTTCTAAGTCATATGAAAAACTCAAAGAAATCCTAAACATTACTGGTCGTAGTGCTCCAAAATTGGATGGTAAAGGATTCCTCAAATCTTTGGGTACTGAAATCCTGGCCCAGGAAGATGGTGTCCTAAATACTCACAGCAAAAGAACAGGTGATCTCCGGAAATTAGAATATTGCTCTAAAGTGATACTCACAATTCTGTACTTTATGTTACCATCTGCCGCCAAAGCTGACATCACAGATATCGAAACTTACAGTCTTCAGTCAAATGGATTCCATCTTAAAATCTCTGCATCAAAGTATCTGTTTGAAGATACTATTATTACTATGGATTTGCAACATGTAGAAGTCCCAAGGACTGTTGAGGGATTTTCGAAGCTAGTGGTAGGTGCAAAAACAATTCTTTCTTGGAAGGCGCGGACTAGGAAGAATACAGTAACTTTTTATAAAGCATTGAAGAAAGGTCATAAACGCCTGACAAATGGCGTCTTTTTTTCACCAATCAAAATGTCTGTATAAATTAGATTTAAGCAAGTTATAATATACAGAAGAGGATTTACTGTTTGAACGTCTATTTTAGCTCTTGACTTTAATGTAAATTGTGAGCGATCACAGAACGAGTTTTTCCTATTGCCTAACAGTAATAAAAAATCACAATATATTCCTTATTATTGTTATACATGACCTATCATTATCTAAAATACCTGCATATATGCATAATATAAATATCCCTCGTAACATATCAGATATAATTATGTGCATGTACATGTACTATAAATCTTAGAGAGGAATTCTTTTAAGAACAATGCTCCTATGGATTACATAATGACGCAATGCTAAAATATTGGTAGACCAATATATCTCACATCAGTCTAAACAATTCGCCAGTAATATGATAGAACATTTTTGCAGTTTCACCGATAGCAACAACGAACCTTACAC